CTGGGTGCTCCTTACTGGACACACTTTTCCTGCCTAGTTGGTTAGGAAGCGTTCATAAGAAACTATCACAGCGAACAGAGTAACTATTTTACCAAAACCCCTCTCGTCCAAAGCTCTCGGTAATTTTACGATGATAAACACCTTAAGAAGCGTTAGGCGGGCAGAAGACAATGACCTAAATTAAGGGGAACGAGGGACTGACTGCTTCTTCGTGATAACGCACCTGGTTACAGCATTCAAAATCAACTAATTTTGGTGAAAAACGGCATGGTAGTGGTCTTTAACTCCTCTCCCTCTCTTACTCGCCCGACCTATCTCACCACACACACACGTTCTTTTATTATTTCTATTTAAAAAATCAATAATTCCAATTTTTGAGCACTATCGAAAGAGTTTACCGTCGGGTCGATGCGGCGTGCGCCCAAGCAATGATCGAGGGTTCAGTTGACGCTATTTTCCTGTCAACAATATAGTCGTTCGGCAAAAGCACGATCGGGGAGACGAGGTCGAAGGGTGGGGCACAAACACTATCGACCGAATACTTCCAAGCAGAAAATATCTTAGTGCATGCGCCATGTTTCCCTGTCGTGCGGGAGGAGTGTCTTGGTGGAGGCCGCGGTCACTCACAGTTTGGCCCCTTGACTGGGTTTCACGCCCAATACAGAAGTTTTAACTAGTTCTGGAATTGGTCACAATCGTTATTTTGGTTGACTCATTTTTTTGTCCATTTGGTTGAGCCAAAGTAGCAGCAGTCAACAGGGCAGATGGCTTCGCCCTTGAAACCCAAGAGAAACCGTCCAACTCGCACATCTACGTAACTACGTACATTTCTGCATTCGAATATCGCCAGTGTAATGGCAATAGGTAGTACACAGGCCACAAACAACTTTAACCCCAGTGCGACCCTTCAGTTTTCGTTCATGAACTTCTTAAACAGTTTGTGAGAAAACAGCCCCGAATGCCCTTAAAGAGGCCGTTATCCACGTCATTCAAACGGACTCAAGTCTCTGTCAAACAACGACAGACCCGAATATATGAAAGTAAATTTGGTGGGTGGCGACACGATCGACAAGGTATTCGAGTGAACAATCAAATGCAAAAGCTAAAGGCATGAAAAAGATTAGAGTTGGTCTCTAGTAACAGGGGTGGTCTTACTTAGCTACTGTAAGGCGCGAGGCGGATTCGGAGTGTGAGAAATAGATCACGTGGATGGTGAAGACTATTAGGGGCATTTAAGTTCGTTATGCCTCTTTCCCGACATCAAACAAAGACAAAGTACATGATTTTCAAAGTTTTTTTGTTTGCCTAACTAAAACTACCACATGACTAAAATGCACTAGCACGTACTTTGTGTCGGCATATGCAAGCCGAAATTAATCTGCTAATAGCTCGGGTTTTCTAGACAAATATCCGCCAGTTTCAATAT